TGTTCCTCTCTAAAATACAAGATTCCAGGGGGGCAACTAGTTCCGTGATCATTAGTGACTCCACTCTGCTAAAAACATGAATTTTCAACATTAAATACCATTGCATAACATTCTAAATACTTAGAAATCACCAGGGAGCATTAAACAAAAAAAAATACCTTCATTCTTTTCTGAGATAGGTGAGCCCTATTCCATTGGATTTCCCAGGTTCACTGGCTGTTTATATATCAGCCACAACTTCCCATTAGGAGCCAGGGCTTTTTGGCCTGGGCCAGGAAGGAGGAGGTTGTGCAAGGTTTTCCCCAAAGAAGATGAGTGTTTCTGCCTTCTGATTGCCCTTGCCCTGAGATTGTGTAATTTTAATCTCAAACTGTGTGAAAAAATATTCCAGGTAGATTACAGAGCAAGAATTTCTACCTTGTCTCTCACCACTGCAGCTGAGGTTTCTACCCACGCAGAAAACAGGATCAGGTTGAAGTTGCTAGTTCTGTTTCCCTGTCAATGGAGAGGTACTGTAATGTCACTTGGTACAATGAGAAAGTCACTCCTTCCTGCTCTGAGACCTCTCCCTGTGTAGCTGAACTCTTCCACTCTTCGAGAGTACTGCTGTTGCAAAGCACCTCAGCAACCACTAGAATTTCCCACTGGGGTTATGTTAAATTTTAGAAACATATTATTTCAAAGGTGACAGTTTGGGCTTTGCAGAATAGAACTGTTGATTTTGTTTCTCCTGAGGAAAAACTTCCAAAGGCAGTGAGGAATGAAGATGTGACCTATCCTAAAATTACTATATTGTTATGTTGCTCTATTTCTAGAAAATCTGTTAGATCCTCCTATTACCCCTGAACTAGAAGCTGAAAGTTAAACTTCTGTCTCGGACAACGAAGGACATGTCCTGGTTGGGACCCCTTTCTCCACAGTTTGCATGTTGCTTATGTATCTACTCTGCTCTTGCTGCTTTTCTGGTGAGCAAATCAAAGCACAAATTTATAAAGCTCATAAAAAGCAGGAGTCTCAACCATTCAGTTGCAGTGCCTGCTCAGGAGGAGGGCTGAGCAGCCGGGGAATTGAGGGGTATGGTTGCCTGCAAAACCAAAACACAGCTGTTAGGGCTAATTTTAGCTTTTCTAGTCTTGACGCTAGCCCTGTATTCCAGCAAACTGCTTGTAAGTCATGAGCCTTCCTAAGCATGTCCCTGAGTTACAGTGGGAATGTTAATGTGACCTTTCTCTAAAATTGTATTTATAGAGGCTGCTGAGATAATGAGAGACATCGGAACAGCCATCCAGTATCTTCATTCGATGAACATTGCCCATAGAGATGTCAAGGTGAGGCCTGAAGGTGTGTGGGCAGGGAGCAAAGAGCATAAGGCAGAAAAATAAATGGGCAGTGGTGGTTTAAATAGAACTAGGAGTACAATCAGATGGTCAAAGTGACCCCACTCTGCCAATGTGAGAAGGGATCTGTTGCAACTAGTTTGCAGCTAGTCAAAGGTCAGAATATTCGTGTGTGCTAGTGCCTTCCAGTTGTGTATGGAACACAAAAGAATCTGGTGATAGTCAGATGGTTAATTAAAGAGGTACTACAGACTTGCAATCCAGTTAATTAAGAAGAAAATAACATTGCCTGAAGTGAACTTATATTACATGCTATACCTCTATGTACAATCTTTGCCAGTTATTAATTGCTTTCAGACTCATACTTACCAAAAAAAAACAAACCAAACCAAACAAACCAAAGAAACAAAAAACAAAACAAACAAAAGACCCCAGCAGCTCTCCCCCTGCCCTCACAAACAAAAAAACCCCTTCAGAAACAGGGTATGGGAATGCATATATGGGAAGAATAATACCAATTCCATGTATCCAACCCACTTTATAGTACGTGTAAATATTTGGAAAAATGGGAAGATCTCAGTTACTCCCATGTGGAACAGTGTTTTATTGGCTAAAGTTTGTACACAGATCTTGTAGAGATTTGGTAGAGTTTGTAGTATTGTATTTTGTGTTCATTCTGTAAAGTGCACAGCATAAGCAAAGCCATTGCTTGGTGTCACTGAGGCGTATGTTTGAGGGTTCTTTAGGTTGGAACTGGCGAATATCTTAACAGTTCAGAGACTAAAAATCTATTCACTTTTGTGGAGCTATGTTTCATTGCCTGTCACCAGCACAGAGACTGAAGTACTCAGCCTCACACACCCCTTACACACACTCAGTGAACTAACACAGAAATAGTTGAAATTGCTTAGTAGATCATAAATCCTGTTCTCTTTCAAGCCCACCCTTCTTCTGTATGGCCTTAAGCACTAGCATGAGAGAGGGCATAGCTTCTTTATGACTGAGAAACTGACAAACAAGTTCAAACAATTGCAGATCCAGGAGATGTGCCGTTGTCTCTGTTCTTGTGCACAAGAGCTTGTACTTCCCTCTGTGCTACTTCTGGTTTTGGAGAGCCTTTATGGAGTGTGGAGCCAGAGTAGACAGAATTAACACAGATTTCAGGAGACGGAGGAGGGAGGAGTGGGAAGGGGACTGTGTCTGTGTCAGTTAATTCTGATGGAGTTATGTCAGTTGTTCACAGAGAGTTTGGCTGATGCTTCTCTTTGTCTTCCACCTCAGCTAGCTGAGGGTGGTACAGAGTGCTGTCAGATCCACTGGTGTTGATCAGACAGAAGTGGTACAGAGTGCTGGCTGTCAGATCCACTGGTGTTGATCAGACAGAACAATCCTAATAGGTGCAGTGAACTAGAGAGAGGTTCAAGAAGCCAGACTTGATGCCCATTGGACCTCATGAGACCTTGAGATTAGCTCTCCTAAATATCATTTTGAGAAGGATGTTGATCCATAGTCTGAGCAAAAATACTCATGTTGGAAGAGAACTTTCTGCATGGTATAATGGGGATGTGAGAGAAGTAAGAAGACCCACATGCTGGTGGTGATCCAGACAAGCAGGAAGGGTTTGACCTTTCAGCTTGTTAGAGACATCTCTTCATTGTCCAGTTTATCCTTTCTCTTGGTGGTCTTTCAGCCTGAAAACTTGCTTTACACGTCTAAAGAGAAGGATACTGTACTCAAACTCACAGACTTCGGCTTTGCCAAAGAAACCACTGTACAAAATGCACTGCAGACCCCTTGTTACACTCCTTATTATGTGGGTAAGTTATCCAAATGCATTTCTCTTGTGTTTGTCTGTCATCCCTCCCCTTATAGTGGGCCTGTGGACTGAGGAACGGATGGGAGATCTTCTATCATGGATGTAATGCAAAGAGGTAGCCTGCAGAGTGTAAAATGGCATCCAACCCAAACCTAGTCCTAGAATCATAGACTCATAGAATGTTGTGAGT